GCAGATTTTCTGGTTCATCCCTGATGGATTTTGTCCCCTTCTCTTTAGTGTGATCCATAGTGATTCAGTCCAACACACGGAGTGTAGTTTTTGTTCTATTTGGTAGCCATTTCAGCAAATTGGATTTGTGTGTGTGTCGGGGGGGGGGTTCTTTGCTTCTGTGAATCTTGGTAGGTGCCAAACTGGGATCTCTCTCTTTTCCCCCCACCCCCAACATAAAAATTGCCCTGGTCTCCCAGAAATATGCATGAGTGAATATAGGTACAGTCTTGACTTGCCAGTTTTCTTGTACACATCAGCTGTCCAGGAGCACCAAAGTGGAGCAGCTAACATACAAGGAAATTGACCGGGAGAGACTGCACACAGTCTAATTCACATATAACTGCGAATGATTGGGCGGGCGGATAACAGGAAGACAAAAGAAGAAGCCATTTATACAATTCGGCAACACACGCCCCAACTTGAACAAATAGCACCAGTGTGCACAACATTATCTCCCATGCCAATGTAGGACTCTTGCTATCAATTATGCCATGTCCTGCCTCAGCTCTTGAGCAAGTCCAGAAAGGTTTGGTTCTGCTCTCTTTTGGGGGATTCTTCCTTGAGCAGTGACTGGGGTTCATAGAATCATAGAATAGAAGAGTTGGAAGGGCCATGAAGGCCATCTAGTCCACCTCCCTGCTCTTGCATCTGTTTCCCCCCTGCTTATTCCCAGCTGTAAGTTTACATAGATACAAAGAAACAGGTGAGTCAGAAGGGGTCTCCCAGGCCATCTAGTCTGACCCTTGGCTCCAGCTGGCTCCGCTCACAACATGCCCACCATGTGCATGCCCAGCCTATCCTTGAACACCCGCACCGATGGGGCCGCAGCCACCTCCCGTGGGAGCCCATTCCACACCCTCGGGGTCCTAACTGTCAGGAAGTGCTTCCTGGCATCCAAATGGAACCTGGGTTCTCTGAGCTTTGCTCTGTTGGAGCGCATCCTGCCTTCCTCTGCAGGGGAGAACAGGTCTCTACCCATCTCCGTGTGACATCCCCCCCCCCCCATATACCTGGATGTCGCCAACAGTAAGTGCTTTGAAAAGGATTTGCAAAAAGTAGAAGCCTGAAATTCTCCTTTCTGGACTGGCCCAGTACTTATGGAAGCACTGAGGAAGCTTCTGGACAGGTGCACGTTCGACATTTAATAGGGGATTTAATGAGTTCCTCCTTTGTCTTCCAATTATCTTTTTACCTTTGCAACTGTGCACATTTTAGCTTATAGGCAGTCTCAATTGTCAATTTCCCTGTACGTTACTTGCTGCGCTTCAGAGTAGCTGCGGACAGCGGAAGCATGGAAGAAAGTTGGCAGGCAAGAAGGTACGTACTGGGCTGCTGAATCTGTACTCCTGAGCATGTGTGAGAAGCTGGGGAAATGCAAATGAATGAGGAAAGGATCCTGTCTGCACACAGTTCAAAACACACACACACACACACACACACACACACACACACAAATAATCCTGCAGGCTGTTTTGAAACCATGTGCTTTGCCGGGGTAAGTTTGTAAAACTTGCACTGGATGTTTGGAGAAAACAAAGTGGCAGACCTCGCCTCGCTCTCCAGACAGAGAAGGAGAGGTGGCTTGGCTCTTTCTGCAGGGAGCACAAGGGAGGTGACTGTAGATTCTGGGGACCGCCCAGGAAATCCAATGGATTTCTCCTCCCAGCTGGATTCCTCATTAGGGTTGGGATGAACCTTTTGGGATCCATCCCTCCAGGACCCCTAGACCTCCCCTTGTGCTTATTTATTTATTTATTTAAAACATTTATATGCCGTCCTTCACTACCGTGTCTCAGGACGGCTTACAAGGTTAAAACCAACAGTCATAAAAACAATCAATAAAACAGTACAATAAAATTACTATAAACCAATACAGATAGATCAAACTAAAAGCGACTGTGAACCACTAAAAATGCTAATTTTTAAAATAACGATTAAATAAAAAGGTTTTGGCCTGGCGCCGGAAAGAGTATACACTTGGCGCCAGGCGTGCCTCTCTTGGGAGGACATTCCAGCCTTTCATTCGTTCTCCCATTCAAGAGACGAGGAGGGACTGACTCCTGCTCAGCACCAATTGAAATTCCTTTCTTGCAAGATCAGCAATCAGATCAAGGCCAGATTTGGGCTGGGGATCGGAGCAGCCCTGTTCCCTAGCTTACCCCTCCTCAGTTTCAGGACACTGGGGGGAGCAGGTGGGAGGGAGGGAGGGAGGGAGGGAGGGAGGGAGCACATGGTGTGCCGGAGGATGGGGAGTGCGGGGTGGAAGGAAGAAAGCCATCTTGACTGGGGCTGGACTGGAACTGGGACTGGACTAGGGAAGGGAAAAGGGCAGGAAGAAAGCCAAGGAGAGTGCTATGCTGCAGCAGGAGACGAGAAGGTGAGGCACACCGTGTCTTTCTCTGCCCCCAGGGCAGCTCTTCAGGGTGGAGACAGGCCCACTGTGTCCCCACTCTGCCTCGGGCTGCGGCAGGCATGACTTCCACCCTAGCAGACGGCATGCATGGAGGGCCCCTTGTTTTTCCTGTGCAGAAGCCGGGGAGGTTGGAGATGTGGCAGTGCCCCTCCCTGCCTGTCTCGCTGCATCTCTCTGTGGTAGCCCCCACACACACCGGCAGGGGAACCTTGACCACCTTCCCCCCACCGCCAACCATGTCCCCTCGATCCAGCCGGGGAGATGCATGCAAGGAGAATGCATGGGCTGCTGCTGGGGAGACCCCCGGGCTGCTTGGAAAGCAGCTGGTCTGGAGCAGCTTGCCACGGCACAGAGAGTCCCACGAGCATTTGTGCTGGAGGCAGGTGGCCGGCCCGCTCGGTTACTTTGGCCACCACGCAGCTCCTGCCTGGAGATGCATGCCGGGCCTCTATTCACAGCTGAAAGCACCGACGCTGGTGCCAACAGAACCGCCACTCGCTGGAAGCCGGGCGTGTTCCTGAGCCCCTCTGAGTGCCCCGGTGACCACACAGCCCCCGTTCTGCTGTGCATCTCTCTTTCCGTGGATTGGAATCACGTCACCTCCCAACCTCCTAAGCTGGATAGAGCTTAGCTCCTTAAGTCTCACACCATAAGCCTTGTTTAAGCTGGCCGCTGTGAGGCACAGCTGGGGGCGAATTTGCTTTGTTATGCGCACAGCTTTTCCGGCCGATGGATGTGTCAACATTGCAATCTTATTATGGTTTTGCGTCGCCCAAATGGAAGTCTGCCCAGAGAATCCTGCGTGTTTTTGAAGTGGGACTCTGCTTTGAGGTTTGATATCAGATTGACCAAGCTGGAAAATAAATGGTTCTGAGCTATTGCATACTCCCTGACCTGATTGCAATAGGAAATTATAGGAACCCCTGTGTCACTCTCTCTTCCCATCAGGAAATTCATACAGAGGGAAAAGAGGAACAAAAGAACAACTGAGGGGCAAGGACTCCGGATCCAAAAGGGTTTGGACAGACTGTGGAAGTGGGCAGGAGACAACAGGATGGCGCTCAATGTGGATAAGTGCAAGGTCTTGCACTTGGGGCATAGGAATGGGTGTCATAAGTACAGGTTAGGTGACAAGTGGCTGGAGAGCAGCACTTGTGAAAGGGACCTCAGGGTGCTGGTTGACTGCAGGCTGAACATGGGCCAGCACTGTGATGCGGCGACCAAGAGGGTGAATGCCACCCTTGGTTGCATAGCCAGAAGCGTGGCTTCTAGATCGAGAGAAGTATTGTTGCCACTCTGTATGACTCTGGTGCACCTGCAATTGGAGTATTGTGCTCAGTTTTGGGCCCCTCATTACAGGAAGGATATAGCCAGGTTAGAGTCAGTGCAGCGTAGGGCCACAAGGATGGAGGCCAGTTTGCAGGGGACGCTGCATGAGGCGAGACTGAGGGAATTGGGTCTCTTCAGCCTGGAGGAGAGGAGACTCAGAGGGGATCTGTTGGTGCCATACAGGCATGTGAGGGGGTGTCACACGGAGGTGGGGACAGACCTGTTCTCCCCTGCAGAGCAAGGCAGGACGTACTCCAACGGAGCAAAGGTCAGGGAACCCAGGTTCCATTTGGATGCCAGGAAGTCCTTCCTGACAGTCAGGACCCCAAGGGTGTGGAATGGGCTTCCCCGGGAGGTGGTTGAGGCCCCATCGGTGCAGGTGTTCAAGGATAGGCTAGACATACACATGGTGGGCATGTCGTGAGAGGAGCCGGCTGAAGCAGAGGGTCAGACTAGATGGCCCGGGAGACCCCTTCTGACTCGCTCTGTCTCTATGCTTCTATGTAACTGAAATGATAGAGTCATCATACCTTCCTTTCAAGGAAAGGATGGCACATTTGGGGGCTTGTTGGCTGTGAATGTGGAAGGTCTACTGTAAGAAGACATGATCAGAGTTTCATAAAATGATGATGTGTGTAGAAACTGAGTATTTCTTTCTTTAGTTATTTATTTATTAAATTTATAAACAAACCTCCCCAATATACATGGTCATGTTTTATCCCATGGGCAGAGATGCGCATTCTCAGAAAATGCACGTTTTCGGTTGGGGAAATGAATATTTTTTGAAATGTATATTTTTAGTTTAGGAAAATATAAAATGTAAAATGCACATTTCTCCCAATCGGGGAAAAATAATCATGTTTAGAGATGCAAACACAGCAAAACAAGGTTCAGGAAATGATTTGTGGAACCCCTGCAAACTCAGTAAATGTATGTTTTCGCATGCCTGATATCAACAGAGCTCAACAGAACTCAAAAGGCAGTCGATTCTGCACATCCCCGAAAGATTGGGAACCACCAAAAAGGGAGGTGTGGAAGTTTCCACATCCAGGCATTACCTCATCAGATCAGTGCGGTTTCCCAGGTTCCGGATAAACCGGCAACAGTAGCAGAACGACCAAGCTGGGGCTGGAGGCAGCTCAACCTCACACTCCGCACAAAGCTGTTGTGGCGGAACACAAGTGGCTACTTCGTGTCTCTGTTTTCTCTCTTTCAGAATACAGAAAAGGTGCTTGTTCCTTCGGTCACGTTAATCGTGGGCTGTGGAGTGTCTTCCTTGACTCTTTTGCTCTTGATAATCATTTATATCTCAGTCTGGAGGTAAAGCAAACAATCTCTCTCTCTCATTCTCTCTCTCTCTGTGTGTGGGTTTGTATGACTGAAGCTCTGTGTGTGCATGTTTGTGTACAAATGCATCTCTCTGTCTTCTTATGGTAATTTAGGAGTGGGTTAATGGAAGAAAAGGGGCAAATTTCATCCCCCCTCAAGGAGCTGGAGGTGAACTGTGCACCCGGGGGGGGGGGGGGCAGCCCCTCTCTGAGCAGCAGCCCATGTTTTCTTCAGAATGCCCTTCAGGACCAGGCAGTGCCAGGACTTGGGATAGTTCGGGGCCATTGCTGGAAAACAATATGGCGGGTGCTATCCCAAGAAGCTGGAGGGGACGCACGAGAGAATCGTTCCCTTCCGCCAGTCAATCTCTCTTGCCCTTAAAATAGCCATAATGCCTCCCTGCTCCATACAGACACACACAAACACACACTTTTTACAGAATCTATCCGGGGCAACTGAGTGAGTGCTAATCCTGAGCAGTCCCATGGATCCTGGGGATTCCAGAAACATGGTATAGAGTGGCCCTTTGGTGGGCTGGATGACTGAGAAGCAAGCCGAAGGACAGACCCTATGTAAGGTTGCTCTCATATTTGGCCTACAGAGAACTTCCTAGGGCCCCCAAGGGAGACCATTTTGGCCATTATAGGCAGCACTTGGTATGTGGATAAACAAACAAACAAACAAACCTCAAGGAAAATGGATACAGACCTTCCTTTGCAAACTGGGTGTCAGGCTCAGGCTGTGGGCAGAGGCAGCTACCGTCAGGATGCCAGGACCTGGGCACGGGTACAGAGCGGAGGCGTGGCTGGAGGTTAAGTGGGCCAGGGCAAAAGGCAAGTCAGGCAGACTTACGGAGGCTGTTAATCTGGAAGCGTTCCCGAGCTTTGTTCAACCAGTGAACAAAGAAAGTGAGAAAACTGTGCACCCTGAGAATAAATCAGTAAACAAGGATTAGATATCAAAACAATACCCTTTCCAGCACAGAACTGATTGATAATTGATGGCTTACCCTGTTTTTTCCTCCTGCAAGGCAAGTTACACAACTCCCTTCCTCCGTATCTCTTTTTTCCTCGCACAAGACTGTGTGGTAAGTTAGGCAGATGGTTGGGGTCATGCCCCAAGTAACCCAGTGAGCTTCCCAGCCAAGGGGACTACAACCCAGATCTTCCGAGTCCCTCTCCAACCACTGTGCCATGCTGCTTCTCTTACAGGGGCCATAACTGAATAGAGGAAGAGCTAAAGAAAGCATTGTTGGGCTGCTCCCACTGGTGCGGGCATGGACCGTCCTTGCAGAGAACGAGTTCACAATTTCTCCAGCTAAGTCTGGAAGCCTGTTGAAACTTGACTTGAGCATTCCACATCCTACAGTCCGGTATCAGCGAGACGAAGTCCTGACCTTCCTCTTTGTGGCAGCCTTTGAGGAACTTATAGAGGGATACCATGCCCCCCTCAGTCTTCTCTTCCCAAGGTTGAACATGCCCAGTTCTCCCAGTCTCTCCCCACAGGGCAGTGTCTCCAAACTCTGGGTCATTTCTGTCGCCCTCCGCTGGACCCTTTCTATTTTTTCTGCATCTTCCTTAAATCTTGGTGCCAGAACTGGACACAGCATTCCAGATAAGGTCTGACTAGTGTGGAGTATAGGGAAAGCAGTACTTGTCATGATTTAGAAGTGATACTTCTATTAAGGCATCCTAAAATAGCATTTGCCCCTTTGCTGCTGCATCTCATTCTTGGCTCATATTTAGCCTGTTGTCCACCATAACTCCGAGGCCTTTTCCTTTTTCAGTTCTGTTGAGGCAAGTATACCCCATCTTATACCAATGCCGTTGGTTTCTTTTTCCTAGGCGGAAGACTTGGCATTTGTCATTACTGAATTTCACTCTGTTGCTTTCAGCACACTTCAAGGTTATCTAGATTGCCCTGGATCTTCTTTCTGTCTTTCAGCATATTAGCTATTCTATGCAGTTTTTTATTGTCTACAGATCTGATTTCGGTTGCCATGCAGCTTTGTTTATCATTGCTCTGAACTTGTGAAAGTTGGCCTTCTTGAAGTCCAGGATACACACTTGGCTACAGTTGACTTTTGCCTTCTTCATAATTGAGAATTCCAGTATGGCCTCATCACATCCCCCCAGGGTTCCCGTGACTGCTGCTATGTCCACTAGGTCATTGGTTAGTATTACGTAAGTCAAGGATCGCTGTTCCTTTCGTTCCTTCCTCTACCTTCTGCTGGTCCAGACATTTTCCCTGGTAGGTCAACACAGAAATAAGCAGTGTAAGAATTCAGTTTAAATCCATGTGGATTCCAACCATCCCTAGGAGCAGATCATGCCACTTTCACGTCTCAGAGGCCTCTCAGGCATAACAGCTCTACAAAAAGTTTACCAAAATGTGTGCATTTCTTTATATCCAGGGCAGAAAAAAACTGTTAGATTTGATTTGAAAATGGGAGAAAGTGAAACTTGCTGACACAAGCAATGGCAAAATGGAGTGAGCCGAACAGACAGCCCCCCCCCCTTTCTTTTTTCTGACGCCCACCGCCTCAAGAACTGGAGCTGAATTGCTTCCATGAAGAATGCTGGCTCAGCCTCAGAGGGAAAAGGATCTCTGTGGAGCAACTCACATCTGTCACTGGCTTGGATCACACTGACCGCTGGCTGCTGGCCACTAAGCTCCACACTCACGCTTAACAGTCTGAGATTTCATAGCCTTCGCCACTTCACAGCCTCATCTAGGCTCTCTGCCAGAGAGAAGCTTGGCCTGGTGGCCCCGTTTTCCCCCCGATTGATTTACATCTAAGCACAGGGATAGCAGGCGGGTTTCCAGTCCTGCCGGCTGCCGGAGAGGCAGCAGGAATGGCAGGTTTTGAGCGAAAAGCCCCTCTCTGTGTTCCAAAGGATCACACTATAACTTCCATTAATGGCATTGTGTGCAGCTGAGCTTTACCTGGTTCTAAACTTGAGAGCAAGTGTGCACAGCCCCAGTTTAAATCAAAGACATTTAGACTGAATCAAGAGGGGAGGATTCAGCTTTCTCCTCCCCCCCCCCCCGCTTCCCCAAGCCCTCCAACCCCGTGCCAGTGGAAGTGAAAGAAGAAAAAGTCTCTGTTGGAATCAGAAGAGGTCCCTTGTGTGTGTGTGTGTGTGTGTGTGTGTGTGCGCGCGCGCGCGCGCACGCGCGCGCAGAGGCATGCGTAGTGAGCACTCAGTACGAAACGGTGGGCCCCAGAACTGGGCAACCATTTCTGGGATTATGCTTATAAGGTGTCCAGCAGCCTGGATCTCCCAATCCCATCCTCAGCCAATGCAGAAATGGTACAATTGGGCACTGTTTGGCCTTGCCAGAGCTCCCTGCTCATCTTGCGGTCCATGAACACCCACATCTGCAATTGCAAGTGGAAAATTGGTGTGACGCTACTAGCGATCGAAGCATGACTGATGCACAACCCCCTCCCCCCCAAATTCCCAGTGTGCCTGCTCAGTGACCTCAGCCGAGGTACAGAGTAAAGTTTGAAGCCCAGACTATACCGAACCTCTCTAGGCAGTTCACAACAGGTTATAAAAGCAATAAAATGCAGCACATAAAACATACTTTCAAATAAAGTCGAATTAGAAGACCCATTCAAGAAGAAAGGAAAAAGATACCTAGACAAACCCATCAGGATCCTGGGCAGCCAGGGAGATCTTTCAAGGCCTCCTCAAAGAGGCTTTCTTAACCTGGCACCAAAAGGATGGCGAATTTGGCACCAGGTGGGCTGCAGCTGGGAAGTTGTTCCAAAGATGGGGGCCACCAGAGAAAAGCCCCCTCCCCTAGTTGCCACCCTCTGAGTCCCTCGGGGGGCTGGCACCTGGAGGAAGGTCCCAGAGGTTGTGTGTGGTGCCCAGGTAGACTGGGGTTGGGAGAGGTATTGTGCCCCAGGTCATGTAGGGCTTTATAGGCTAAGACCAGCACCTTGAATTGGGACCAGAAGGATACAGGCAGCCAACACCCGATTTGCTTCTCTGCCATTTGTTTCAGAGTCATGGGGCTACTCGGTGAGGCATTCAGAGAGGGCTGGATCCAGGAGAGGAAGGGGCCTTTGGCAAGAGGAAGGGGCTCCACTCCCAGAAGAGGCTGTTGAGTGGTCCCCACTCTGCAGCTCGCGTCATTCAGCACAGCCTCCTGGAGCTGGGGGCACTGTGGGAAGGAAGGGGCGGGGAAGCTCACTCGGTGCTCTTGATCTGGGGTAAATCTGGAACCAGCTCCATGGCTGGAGGCTAGCAGGGTGTGGAAGTAGAGATCATCCATTCCTCTTACCATCAGGCCGAGTTCCAGGATTCACGTATGCTCAGAAGTGGGTCCCATGCTGCAGGCTGGGGGCCCCAGGCTGGCCCAGCTTTTGACAAGTTGGAAACCATAGATCTAAGGTTTTCTTTCTCCTCCCTCTACATTTTGCTTCCCCCTCTGCAGGTACATCCGCTCAGAACGGTCGGTCATCCTTATCAACTTCTGCCTCTCCATCATATCTTCCAACGCTCTCATCCTGATTGGGCAAACCCAGACCCGGAATAAGGTAGGAATTTAGCCTGCTTTTTTACATGCAGAAATGGGACTCTGATATTCCAGCAGATTCTTGCGTTTGCTTCCAGTTACAGAGTACCACTAAATGACCGAGCTTGAACATTTATCTGTCTGTACCTTTGAGAATCTGGGAAGCTTCCTTTGAGTTTAAAAAAAAGGCAACCCTTCAGATGAGACACTTCTTAAGGATCTGCCTTGAGTTAGTTGCCCCCAGCACTGTGCAAGGAAAGGACTCCTTTGTGAGGCTGAGTGGCTTTTATCTCTCAAATTGAAAAGGACAAGGTTGACCAAAAGGATCCAGGGAAGAACGGTCCACTTAATAAATGTTCTGTTCTTCTGTAGCGCCTTTTTACATCTACCAGGCCTGGAGCCAAGAACTGACCTTAATTAAGGAACCCTAACCTGCACTCACTCCCTGGGTAGGTAAATATGACAGAATCGGTTCCAAGCATGACGGTGGCGGTAGTTCAGAGGACTTTAAAGGATTTCAGATAATTTCATAGAGGAGAGGAGAAGTCAGCAATTTGCCACAATAGCTACATGGAGCACTGTATTCAGAAGAGATGCACCTTGGAACCCCAGCTGCTGGGACCCAGGAGAGAGGAGAGAAGATGGAGACCTCTGGCTTTGTGCTTCTACTTGGGGTTCTGGGGTTGATGGGACAGCGAAACCACTCCGGACTTTGCGGAGCCAACTGTACTGCTGAATCCTTTCCCCAGTATAGGCTCAGCACCATAATAGCCTCCTCCAAAGTTCAGGCTGAAACCCGAAGCGAATACTGCACTGACACTAGACCCACTTGAGGTTGGAAGGGAAGGCTCAAAGATCTCACTGAGTCACATCACCAGGGAGCAGGGCTGTGTCCTGGAAGCTGACCACTGCAACATCATGGCCATTGCAGAGCCTTCTGCAGCAATCACACCCGTGCCATGAGCATCTGCAGAAAGGAGGAGGGCCATACACCCCTAGGCATCCATCGCATGCTCAGAAACCCTTCCCACCCCCTACCATCTGCTTGCCCTCCCCCCTCGCCTTCAAATTTGATGCAGGATCCCAGCAATCATTTACAGAGCAACCCAGCACCCCCCAGACAGCATCTAGGTGGCCGCGGGAATTTTGGAGCTCATCAGGAATGTCGGAAGAACACTCACTTCTCATAGCTGCAGATTTGTGCTCTGATAACCCCCATTCCAGCTGGCATGGGAAGAACTGCCCCATAAGAGAAGCCCCAGGGAAGGGAAGGGCATTCCAGGGGGCAAAGGGGGGAGGGGGCCAGAGACCCCAAGAACAACATCCTGGCAGGGCCTCTTTCCCTCCCTCCCTCCCACCCCCACCACACATAGACAATGGAGAAGGGCCGTCTTAACTGCTTTGCTGAGCAAAAAGAGTCAGAGAGGATGTTTGCCTCTACGCTGCTCCCACCTCCACAGGAAGCGCATAATTCCCCCCGATGGGAGGGCTACGAGTGTCCCCGTAAGACCTGAGGAAGGGTCTGCTGGTGACAACTGTCCCTTTCCAGCATTGTTCTGACTCCTGCTTGTCCCCGTGTTGACGCGCCTCCCCTCCTCCTGCCGCCCCTCCACCCAGTCGCTTTCCATTTATGTGCACCAGGTGAATGGCCTCTGTCTCTCCATTGTGCGAAACCCTTTGAAGATGAAAGCGCTACTTAAAATGATGCACTTTTTTGCCACCGGCCACACTAGACAAAGGAAGGGGCCCTGCCGTACCTTCTCTCCCAGCTCCAGCTCTGCAGGCCCTTTTCTAATTGTTAAATCATCTCTGCCCGAGCATTATTGCCTGCTTCAAAGGACAAAAGCGGTCTTGCTTCTTTGCCGAGAAGAAAAGGGCCCTCGATAAATTAGACACCCAGAAACAGAATTACGATGGGGGGTACTACATAAACCACAATCTTTGGTCAGAGCAGATTAAGTCTTGATATGCACGAGATTGAATTCTGAACATTTCTGTGCTGCAGGCCTTACCTTCGTTGTAACGGGAATGCTCGCGCAGTGCCGGGCTTCAGAGTTTTTGTATGAGATGCTGCAACAGGGGTCATGGTTTCATAACTGCAGTGTCCTTGAAGCTGGAACGGGGCATGTTGAGCACCTGCAGAATGACAGAGAACACTGTCTTGGCCCTTTTGTCTACAACAGTGGTTTTCAACCTTTTTACAGCTGGGGACCAGCAAAAATACGGAAATTATTTCAGGGACCGCTGAGGCAGAAATAAAAAGCATTCTATACATAATATAGTATTTTGTGCATTAATTTTTAAATATAGTATCAAAAACTGAAAATATTCTAACCTAACCAGAAACTGAAAAGTAAAAACTGCTAATAAAAGAATAAAATATTGAAATTAAATGTGATCGAATACAACTGAAGTTTTTAGAGAGCAGTATGTAATTCAGATAAGGTGACTGCGAAATCTGCTGTTGCTTCTTTTCAAGAATACTTGATTAAAAATTTACAATAGCCAAATACAAAATCAATATACATGCGATATGCTACTCATAGCAAATACAGATTCAAATACAATATCAACAGCAGAGCAATACAAAATCAAACAAGGTTACTTAATACATAAAATAGAGTGACACCCCCTCCCACTCAGACCCCCATATACACCAGCCCAGACCGGCCGAGAAAACACTCAGCACTATCCCACCTCTGCATTTCTTTTCCTGGTGGAAAACAGAGAAAGGAAAAAGGCTGGTCTTTGGGTCTCCACCCAGAGGGTGGACCAGGTGTGGCGTGTCTCCCAGCTGGGCTCCCACTGAGCTGTCTCTCCCCTCCCCAGCCCCCTTGACTGAGGAAGAGGTGGGGAATTGGCAGCGAGAGCGCAGCTAGCCCTGCGCTGGTCCCGGCCGGCGGGATGCTGCTCTCGTGCCCATGCACAGCAGTGGCTGTTTCCCAGACTGCCAGGAAATGCCAGTGGGCTGATGCTAGTCCACAGACCAGCGGTTGAAAAACACTGGCTTAGAACATGTAGACCCTTTGTCCTGAGCATACAGAGCATCGTTGGCCTTCCAAGAGTGTTCCAGGAATACTGATGCCTTGAGATTCCGGGAAATGGGCACTTTCTCTAGGCCCCACGGAAACCTGTTCCCAAGCCTCCAGAGAATGAGACTATAGGCTACAGGTGCTCCTCAGATTCTTGGATTGCAACTTAGGTTGGGTCATTCATCCCTCGAGCATCCAGGAAGGGCCCCGGTGCTGCTCGTGTTCGCATTTTCTTTCTCCTCCAGTCTGCCCGCCTCCTCTTAGGGCTCACATGTGTCCCTGTCGCTCTCTCTTTCCAGGTGGTGTGCACTTTGGTGGCAGCCTTCCTGCATTTTTTCTTCCTCTCCTCCTTCTGCTGGGTGCTGACGGAAGCCTGGCAGTCCTACATGGCCGTGTCCGGCAGGCTGCGGAACCGCATCATCCGTAAACGCTTCCTGTGTCTCGGATGGGGTGAGGATGCCTTGCTCAAAGCTGGAAAGGATGAGGGAGGGGGGATTCCGTTTGCCTTCTCTTCTCTTCCCCTGGCTGTTGGCTATTTTGCGTTAAACTGCCCACATGATAGTGGCATTCCCGAGCAAGGTATCCGCAAAGTTTTGGAAGGGTCAGTGCAGGAAGCAGGGAGTTATGGTGACTGAAAACAACTGAAGACTTTTTCAAAGTCATGTCTGGTGGCATTGGAAACATGGCCATCGTTAGTGTTAGAAGAGAATTTTGTCTCTTCCTGTCCACAAATCAGGGGAACATGTCACAACACCAAGCACTAATATGAACAGCAATGCAATTTCAAGGAATTTTTGCAATTTCCGGAACTTCTGTTCACTTTTGAAGCACTTATAAGCACAAGTGTGCACATCCAAATCTACATTCTGACAAATATTTCGTCTTCATTTTCATTTGGGAGAAATGATGTCTTTTTCCATTGGGAAAAAGTGCATTTCCCACGATGTTGCGGTGGTGGGGAACACTGTTCATGTTCAGGAATGTAAACCAGGTGAAACAAGCTTGGGTGAAGAATTTCAAGAAGCTCAGCAAAGCCGAATGTTGTACTGTCGCTCATCCTTGGTCACCTCCCAATTCCATCCTTGTCTTCCCCAAAGCTTGGTGATGGAACCCCTGGAAAAATATTCCACAGAGTTAGAAGGGGGCTGTCATTCACTCAGCTTCACTCTCTGCCTCCAGCACTGATCAAAACTTTATACCGATGAAGCTCAAGGCAATACTTCAAGGGAAGATTGAATGGCACCGTCTCCAAGCACAAGCATGAAGGTTCGGGCTGTGCTTCTGTTCTGCTGGCTTTCAGGTGAAGCCGCTTCACCTCCGGCAGAACCAGAAACATGGCCAAGAGGCCCCTTTGAATTAGGCCAACATTCAGCTTTCAACTCGGGATGGGAGAAGGAGCAACATTTGAACATTCCGAGATGCTCCATTTCCCCACCAAACCCTCTCTTGAATGTGAGTGCTCTTTAGCTGTTTTGAAGAGGAAAAGTGTGCGTTTTGAACATTCAAGTCTGCACACTTTCAAAGGAATACACCAAAGATGCCTTCTATAGGCCAAAGTGTAACATATGGTTTGGGGAAAACACAGTTTTTTAAAAAATATATGCATTTGTGCACATGCACATTTTTGGATGCATGTTCTTACGAATGTGCAAACTTTTGAACATGAATGGACACTTGGGATGTTGCAAAAGAATTTGTTAGAATTTCTTCCCTGCCCATATTCGTGTTTGGGGTTGCAAATCAGACATGAGTGCATGATTTCTGGAGAGGGGAACTCACTACTGAATTCCTCTTTAAAACACGACAATTCTTTTAGGATAGTCTACCTGTGCCCCAGAGAGTTAGACAACAGGTCAATCCAAGGCGGTTTCCAGTAAAATTCATTGCTCACTGGATTTTACCAAAGCTGAGGAACATCTGCAAAACTTTGGAAGCTGCCTTACGAGAGATGACACGACAGACAGTCCAGCCCGGTGAGGGATGCATGGATTCTTTGAAATCCATTCTGCCCGTGTTTTTCTTCTTTCTCTCCGTTGGCAGCTTATTGACAGATTTGGATCCTTTCCTCCTTCAGAAAAGTTTGCAAAAAAGTCTGCCACGATTTGTGGAACTTTCGGAGACATTCATGAGTTCTTGGATGTTTTTTCAGCTCAAAGTACAATCAGTGAGCAAAATGCATGCAGAAAAGATTGCTAAGCAGCAGAAACTGCTGCTTAGGCTGAAGAGAGATCAGAGGTGCACAACACATTTTGTGCGCACGTGTGTTTTAAAAACAGTGCATATATTAGTGTGCTTTTGAGCAACTGTCTCTTTTTTATAGAACTGCTTTTATGTGCAATTTCTGAATGTAAAAATCCCAGCCCACAAGACTGTGGAATCTGTACAACATCAAAAAAAAAGCTGGCCAAGGATTAGATTCATAAAAGTCTGATTTGAACCCATTGCCAATTCTCTGAAAACTATGCTGAATATTGCCTGCATGATTGTCAGTTGCTCTTTGGGGGTTAATGAAGCACTGTTAGTTGCAGCTAGAGATGGGAAAAAAACTTTGTGCAATTTGCATTTTCACTTTAAGGTAAGATTTCATGCTTATGACAAGAACTGAAACTCAGTTATCATCCAAAATTACTGCATCTGCAGTTTTGCAATGGGGCTTTCCAGTCTCAAACTACATACCAAAAAAGTATATATTAGGAAAATGATGATGGAAAATTACAGACAAAATTGTGCATGTTAGGAAAATACATGCAAATTGCATGCAAAATGCACATATATTAGGAGATATATTCAAAACATGCTTATGCATTGTCAAAATAAATAGCTGTTGCAGCGACCAACCTTAAGTCTGGAGAAGTTTGAAAAGAACAGAACTTAAGTGTGGGAAACTGAATCTGGGAAAACCCCAAACTGACAAATTCATTCATCTCTAGTAACCAAAGAAACAGGGATTGGGAAACAATCCATCTGCTTTGCATTTCAGCTCTAAGCTGACAAATTCAGATTTCCCAAACCTGAACATGAACCAGAATGCAGTTGGTCTCAGCACTGGTGCTTTTCAAGAACTTCTGTCTTAAAATCCCTGCTTTTGTAGGGGCTGGCCTTAAATGAACTTTGCGCTTCCGTGCAACTTCACAGTTGCACTGCAGCAGCTTCCCAGGGAATTGTGGTGTTCGGGGGTGCCAGATACACACAGTGGATAAATAATGCAAGAATGAACAATTATGAAACCAGCAGTGCTTTCCCAAGAGCAGCAGGAGATTCTGTCCAATAAAGCAAGTATTCATCCAGGACAGATGTTTGGGAGATGTTAATTTGCTTTTTTTACCCCTTGCTTTTCCTTTGCATGCTTAAGTAATTAGCTTAATGAGGCATTTTTGTAACAGAAAAAAAGCAACATGAATACATGCCATCTGCATTAAGAAAAATATGCCAACCAGCCATGGGCTTTGTGTGGAGTGAGAAGAGGCCTTGTCCCCAAGAAATCTGTCTCCAGAGTTTTCCCTTGCATTCAGAAGCTGCATATATTCCACTTTTTTCCTTCCGTGTGTAGCGAGAGAGTGAAGCACCCCCATGAATGGGCTAACGGGTATCAAGCAGTCCCACCAGTTTTCCCAGGAAAGGTTCCTGACGGCGGATGTACCACTCAGTCAGGACTATGTCTCTGCAGTTTCATATGTATTCGGTTGCAAGTCTGTTCCATCCCATGTCCTCATCATGTTCTGATTATTTTCAAAAGCACAGAACTTAGAATGTATTTTTGTATGCTAATTCTACATTGCTGCAGTTTTAAAGGCAAAAAATTGCCATGTTCTGAGAAGTGTGGAACCCGAGGAACATAGGTATTCTGATCTGTGTTGTATTCAAGGAAGTGTGAATTAGAACCATCCATCTCTATGCCAAGGATGGCTAATTTTGGATCCAACCCATAATCTAGAACGTTAGCTTCTGATAGATAAATTTCACAGTGGACAGTTATGGGCAAATTTTCCACTGGTGATTCCCCTGGCAAAATTCACTGTGAATTTCACTGGGAACAAATGTGTATGGCTTGTTTATCTGTTTATTTGTTTGTTTTGACATATGTAGGCTTCCCTGTACTCTAAGTGGAGTCTTTGGGTGGCTTAAAACACTTAAAATTACACAATTCTCATTCAAGAAAACTAATAAAAACAAATAATGAAAATCAGATATCATAAAACAACAATAAATAGGTCATTAGAATAAATCCACTGGGGGAACAACCATAAGATGATAAATTATTACAAACATTAAAATGAGTTAAACTTTAATTGTTAAAATGCCTTGAAAAGAGAAAAGTTTTCGCCTGGTGCCCGAAAGAAAGTAATGTCAGTGCCAGTTGAAGTTCCCTGAGGAGCTCATTTCATAAGTGGCGGGGCAGCCACCAAGAAGGCCCTTCTTCTATTTGCCATCCCTCTCACCTCTTTGAGGGATGGCTCCTTTAGGTCTTCCTGCCCAGATCTTAGTGGTTGGGCAGGTATATACGGGTGAAGGCAGTAGGTAGCCAGGTCCTAAGTCCTTTAGCGCTGCATCATGTGAACATCTTATGATTTCAACCCTACACTCAGTGATTTGAACCAATGGATGTCACACCCAAATAGTCATGTATTGGTTGTGTTGTTGAAGCCTTCAGTGCAAGTGAAGATATCCTTATACCAAGCCTCAGCAATGGCTGTAAATGACCCAGAAAGCTCCTGCAACGGGCTGGTCTAGAAATGAGAAAGATGATGACACGCATGCTAATTCTGTATCAGTCCATGCACACATTCCAAAAAACATGTCCATCTTTCTCCTCGTGGGTCTCCGGGCTTCCATAACATGACATGCCTCTTACTTGTGCATGCCTCCCGTCAATAATGTTCCCCATATGTTGCCCTCAAATAATTCTCTGCCTCTGAAGATTTGCACCTTCTATTTGGAAGTGGGGAGCCTCTAAAGTTCACAAAGAAAGAGACGGTGGTTGAACAGGCAAAGATCTTGAGATGCATCTCCTAGATTCGAAACTGCCGCTCCATCTAATTTTTTCCCAGAAGTGTTAGACTCATTGGGTTGGGGGAGCCATTTTTGCTTCACTTCGCTTTGCTCTAAATTTGGGAAAGCATTAAGGAAATGCTCACTCACACCTGCAATTAGAAGTGTTACACATCTGAATTTTGCTGCTTCGTTCTACAATCACATTTTGTTATGTAATGTGCAGAGCAGCTCTTGTCTTGGTTTTCTCTCCAGAGAGATTCTCTGTTTACTGTTGCTTAGGTTTATTGACTCAAAGGACTTCAAATTATTTGCTTTAAGTCTTACCTCATGTAATCCTAGTTTAAAAGCCTCTCAGCAAAGAGGTATTCTGAATCATCAACCTAGTTAATGCAGCATCATGAAAGAAGAGAGCAGCCTTTATATTTTTAAAGGGGAAGTTGGGAAGTCTGTCATTTTCT